CTGACAATAACAAGAACTCCTCCCACAGTGCATCACTAGGAGCCGAAGGAGGAGGGACCAGAAAACAAATCTAAACAAAAGTGCTCCTTCAAGTGAGATTTTAGCCCCTGGAAAAGGCAGAGAGGTCTTTTCTCACTGCATGGACTTTGCTCCTCATTTCTTAGAGGAGAACTGAATCAGTATTTTGAAAAGGCATACACAGAAATGTCCTTTTCAACCCACAAGCTGTAAATTCCTGCTGCTCTGCCGTAACCAGGACCCTCCAACCATCCCTGTTTGGCCTGGCAGATGGGAGCAGCAGCCTGGTGAAGGTCTAAACTTGGGATTTCTGCCTTGTTGAGAGCAGGTGAACGATTAGAAGCCTTTTCCTTAAGAAACAAAATAATTTCTTGCAACAAAGTCGCTTCTGCCAGAACAAGCCCCATTCTCCCTCGTGTTTACCAGACACAAATGCCACTCATACTTGGTATTCCTCGCAGTTGTGAGGAAGGCTGTGGGAGAAGCACAGCAATCAGATCCCAGCCAGATTCTAAAAAGGGAATTTGGCTCCTTTGTTAAATACCAATGTCCCTATTTGGGTCAGGACCAACAACTGGATCCCAAGTGGAAAGTCCTTTCCTTGTGCCTGGGGTGGTGAGTGTGTCCCTGTGTCCCAGCAGCTGTCCACCTTCCCCCTGCCACCACGGGGACATGTCCCAGCTCCCAGACACTGCTGCTCACAAGGGTTTCCCTGGATCACAGGAATTTTCCCCTCTCCCAAGCCTGCCCTGCTGAGGGCCCGGCATCTTCCTGCTCCCACTGGTTATTAACCCTTTTCTGAGCCCTTGTGTGCCTGGAGAAAGGAGCCCCGTGGAGAAAGGAGCTCCATCCATGATCCAGGGTGCTTGGTGCTGCTCCCTGCCTCTCTCACCCCAGCTCCAGAGAGATTCCCTGCAGAAACCCAGGCACAGACCCACAAACCCCAAAGAACCTGCAGCTCCAGAGAGATTCCCTGCAGAAACCAGGCACAGACCCACAAATCCCACAGAACCAGCAGCTCCAGAGAGATTCCCTGCAGAAATCCAGGCACAGACCCACAAATCCCACAGAACCAGCAGCTCCAGAGAGATTCCCTGCAGAAAACCAGGCACAGAGCCACAAATCCCACAGAACCAGCAGCTCCAGGCCAGGCCAGGCACTGCCCATCACCTGCGGGAGCCAGGAGAACACTGCGCCTCAAAAACCAACAATTCCCTCTCAAAAACCAACAATTCCCTCTCGCCTCGCCCACCTGCCCGCAAAATCACCTCGGGCCATGGGCAGGGAGGGGAGGGGAGCAGGGAAACAGCGACATCCATTCCCAGCCTGTGCTGGAGATGCTCCTCCAGGAGATTCCCAGCCTGTGCTGGAGATGCTCGAGGGGAGCAGGGAGACAGTGACATCCATTCCCAGGAAAACAGGGAAACATCCATTCCCAGGAAAACAGGGAAACATCCATTCCCAGCCTGTGCTGGAGCTGCTCCTCCAGGAGATTCCCAGCCTGTGCTGGAGATGCTCGAGGGGAGCAGGGAGACAATGACATCCATTCCCAGGAAAACAGGGAAACATCCATTCCCAGGAAAACAGGGAAACATGCATTCCCAGCCTGTGCTGGAGCTGCTCCTCCAGGAGATTCCCAGCGTGTGCTGGAGATGCTCGAGGGGAGCAGGGTAACAGCGAAACGTCTATTCACAGGAAAACAGGGAAACATCCATTCCCAGGGAAACATCCATTCCCAGAAAAACAGGGAAACATCCATTCCCAGCCTGTGCTGGAGCTGGTCCTCCAGGAGATTCCCAGCGTGTGCTGGAGATGCTCGAGGGGAGCAGGGAGACAGTGACATCCATTCCCAGCCTGTGCTGGAGCTGCTGGAGGGGAGCAGGGTAACAGCGAAACATCCATTCCCAGGGAAACAGGGAAACATCCATTCCCAGGAAAACAGGGAAACATCCATTCCCAGGGAAACATCCATTCCCAGGTAAACAGTGAAACATCCATTCCCAGAAAAACAGGGAAACATCCATTCCCAGGAAAACAGGGAAACATCCATTCCCAGCCTGTGCTGGAGCTGCTCCTCCAGGAGATGCGGGAGCCGCTCCCGGAGCATCCCGCGGGCTCCGGGGCAGCTGGAGGCAGCACCCGCGTGTGCCGTGTGTCATTTAGCTGTCACCCAAATACAGAGCACTTCCAGCAGCACCTCAGGCCTGCTGTTAAGCGCATCTGACACATCCCAGCTCTCTTCCCTTCAAATGCCTCCCCAGGAGCTGCCTCTCATTAGGCACAGCCTCATTACTCCTTTCGGTGCCCTCCCCTTGGAACCTGGCTGTGAATGTGCCCAAGCCCAGGGTGTGCAGAGCAAACATGAATTTTGGATGCTCAGCAAACACGAATTTCCCAAGCTCCCGGCACGAATCCCTCCGGCACCGATAGCGTGTGCTCTTGTACCGCTCCACGGAAATGTGCACAGGAAAGGATGAGGCTGGCCGAGCATTTAAAGGTGCAACAAGAACGCTTTGTTCAAGCACATTTGGGCAAAGTCAGGTATAAAAATGAGTTTTCTTCAATAGGGTTTAAAAATTGAGTTCTGCTGTTTGAGAAAAGCGTTTTCATTTCTGTATAAAACCTGAATTTTTGCTTGTTTGGCTTTTCCAGGAGCCAGGTCCCTCCACATTCCCTCTGCATTTGATTGCGTTGAAAAGGCTTTTTCTACCTTAAGCTATTTATGGTGAACAAAACGACCAAAGTGATTCTGCAGTGAATCAATTTAACACGAGTAAGCAAGTTGCAGTTTGAATACGTTCTGTTCGATTGTTTGGGTTTTGTTAAGAAGTTTCTTCAGTCCATGGGACAGAGAACAATTCCTTTGTCAAAATGAGAGTGGAAGTGCCTTGCTCATTCTGCAGGGTGAAGAAAGAGGTGCATTTTGGACCAAGAGAAGGAAAGACTTAATTCTGACTGATTATCTTGGAGTAATTCTAAACAGCCCTCACATTTATAAATGGGACTTCATCCAACCATTCAATCTCCCGGAAAAACTTTCTAATTTTCAAAAGGACTGTTCCAAGAACAGTTCTGAACCTGCTTCCCTCCACAATGCCATTTGGATAATGAAAGACAAACAATCCATCCAAAATTCAACTTCACATGAAAAATTGCTGAATGGTGTCCAACCCGACAAGAGACGTCCATAAACTTCCAAACTGCAAACCTCCAAAAGCTCCTCTGCAGCCACAGGTTAACAGCTCCTTCGGACTGTCATTGCTCTTGTAAAAAGCGAACTGAATTTGGGGAAAAGACACATTTCCAGCATCATCCAGCCCTCAGCAAAGGCATTCAAGTGTCCTGCATAGCTTTGCCTTGCGCAATTTGACAAATGTTTGGGAATGGACCATCCCCAGCGGTGCAATCCTCCCAGACAGCCTCCACCTGGAGGGACACCACTGAGATTTTCTAGGCCACCAGAACAAACCTTTGAGCTGGGAGGTCTCCATAAATCAAGCCTTCATTTTTTTAAATTTTTTTTTTTCCCCATCAAACTTTTCCTCTTTAACAACTCCTTTTGAAAGCACCGCGAGGAAGTCCTGAATCACGGAGCTGCGGTGCAGCTGATGTCATCCCTTTTTTTAAATTCACGTGTGGAAGGCTGAGCATGTGGAGGCTGCTCAGGAGAGACTGTTCTAGCAGCAGGCAGAAGGGCTGGTACAACTCCCAGCCTGATGCAACAGAGCTCTCTACCCAGCAGGTACAGATATTTTTGCTTCGGGAAGTTCCAGCCTGACCGCTCTGCTGACCCAAAGATGTTTTCCTGGCTTTTTTGTTTTTTGGTTGTTTTTTTTTTTTTTCCCCAGGTCTTTTGCATGTGCCCCCAGTTGAAAAGCCAACCCACAAAATACATTTTCTCAAAGGTCGTGCACTCCTCACGATGCCTTTATTTGCCATTTGGTGAAGTATTGAAAAAAAATGAAAACTTCCTTATTGTGAGAGGAGTTAATGTCCCATTTAAATGTAATAGAGAACGAGAGGAAATGCAACTAGAAATCTAATCGCTGCTTCATAGCTAAACCACGAGCTTAGCAGCTTTCTTTTGTGCCCTGAAGGTCCCAGGCACCCTCTCTTTGCAAAGACAATATATGGCACATCCAAATGCTAATCTATTCCTCTCTTTATTTCTATATTCAGCTGCCTGGCTGATTACAGGCAGACGTGTATGTGTTCAATAGGTCCTCCTGCTTCTTTAAATAAGTTTAATAATACCCTTTTTATTTATGGGAGCCTGAAGTACAAAAGATGCAATGCAGGAGCTCTGCAAGAGCAGAAAAGAGAAGAAAAGCAAAGTAGCTGAAGATACAGCCTGGCAAGGGCTCAGTAATTCAACACTGTTGATTCTATAGAGACCAACTGCTTTTATTATGCACAGATTCTCCGAGCGGGGGGGGAACCCCACAGTTACGAACTTGCAAAGGAAAAGAATCTGTACATCTCTTGTCCAAGTGCAGAATTAGCTAAAAATGCAGTTTTGAAGGCAGGGCAGCCCACCGAACATTTCAGACCTCAGTGCAGTTTTCATCCGGCCACTCCGAACCACTAAGATCTCTCCTCATTAAAAAGTTGTATTAAAAAAAAAAACAAAAAACAAAAAAACAAAACCAAAAAAAACCCATGAGGGGAAGGGGAAATGAAGCAGAAAGCCCCTGCGAGGGCTCGGTGCGAGGGGCTGGGAAGCGCCGCTCCAGCTGCGGGATCAGCCCCGCTTCACCCCGCGCTCCGCATCCCCGGCAGCGGGCGGATGGCAGGAATTCCCGCACCGCCCGGCTTCTCCGGGGACTACCGGCACCCCCGGCTTCTCCGGGGACTACCGGCACCCCCGGCTTCTCCCGGGGAGCCTCGCACCGGGGAGGAGCGGCACAGCCGCCGCCGCTCGCCCGCAGCATCCCCGGGGCAGGACGCGCCCCCCGCCCGCAGCCCCGCGGCCCCGCCGGTACCTGCCAGCGTCTTGTGCACCGTGTTGCCCATCGCTCGCTCGCTCGGCGGCGCGGCGGAGCCCGGGGCCGCCCGGAGCTCCGCAGGGCCATGGACAGCGCCCGCCTCCCGCCGCCGCTCCGCGCCCGCCCCCGCCCCGCCCCGCGGAGCCGCCCCGCCCGACCGCGGAGCCGCCGCGCTGCCCCCAGCCCCGCTCCTGCGCCGCTGCCCGCCGGGATGTGCTGCTGTGCCTCCATCCCTGTCCCAATCCCTGTCCCAGGACCTCTCCGGGATGTGCCGCTCTGCCCCCATCCCTGTTCCCATCGCTGTCCCAGTACCTCTCCGGGATGTGCCGCTCTGTCCCCATCCCTGTTCCCATCCCTGTCCCGGTGCCTCTCTGGAATGTGCTGCTCTGTCCCCATCCCTGTCCTGCTGCCCCTCCGGGATGTGCTGCTCTGCCCCTATTCCCTGTCCCGGTGCCTCTCTGGGATGTGCTGCTCTGTCCCCATCCCTGTCCCTGTCCCCATCCCTGTCCCGGTGCCTCTCGGGATGTCCCGCTCTGTCCCCATCCCTGTCCCGGTGCCTCTCAGGGTGTGCTCTCCGGGTAGCACCCACTGTCTCCTGGCGGAGCAGCTGCCAGCCGGGCTTTGGGCAAACACAGGCCCGGCTCTCCCCGCAGCCCCCAGAGACCCCCGACAAGAGCTTTTAAGCCTCTCCCTCCTCGGGAAAAAGGAAGAATGCTCTTCCTCCCTTAGCACAGCCACACCGGTGCATCAGCACCACCTTCCCAGCTGCACCGGGGAGCACTGGGGGCTGATAAACCTGAGCTCTCTCCCTCTCGGTGCCATTCCTGGCGGGTGACCTTGGCTAAGCCACTCTGCATCCCGGTGACACGGCTTCCCCACCTGGGAGCTGAGGGAATTAACAGCAGCGTTGTGTCGGCAATGATTAGTTTGAAGCACCGCGGTGAGGAAGGACACCTCAGCCCATAGCCGACAGCTCAGCACTGACAAGATCGGCTCCACAGCCTCCCTCCCTCGGATCTCAGCCACAAAAACACGTCTGGAGCCCCACCGGAGAGGAGAAGGCTCCTGCCCTCCCTCCTCCGGGCCACCCTTCTGCTGCCCGAGGGGTGACGATGCTGACAAGTGAGGGTGCCAAAGCTTCCCTCCCTCAGGCAGTGTGGGAGTCCAGAGCATCCCTCTGGCTGCCCTGGCTGCCCTGGGACCCTGGGACCCCCCTGGACAGAGCCCCCAGAGACACTGGCTGTGATCTCTGTCCATGGAAAAGAGTTTTCAATCCTACAGGATCAATTACCAGCTCTGAGTGTTTGATATCAGTAATAATTAAGTGTGGCACGGGTGCAAAAGTAAAATTTTAGGATTCTAGATTAGGGGTCCAAAGAGGACAAGATGGAGGAAATTTGGTGTGCCTTGTCCTTTTTCTCCTTCTTCATGCCCTCCATGTTTCACTGTGGTGTTGGCATTTTTCTGTTGGTTCAGGCTGGGGACACACTGCCCAACATAGGTGACAGATATTGGCACGTTATTGTAAATCCAGCACAGGTAGTTTGTGGTATTTAATGTTTGTAACATCCCACTGCAGGACAGAGCTGCGGCAGGGCAGCAGAACATGTTAGAGATAAACAGAATAAACAACCTTGAAACCAGCACAGACGAATTATGGCTTCTGCTTTGGCAGCGGGGCTGACAGACAGAGACTTTCTACATCTCGGAATCATCAATACCCACAGCTTTCAACAAGGCAGCTTCCAGAGTTTTAAGACTTTAGAATTGGGAGCCTCAGAGCTCCGAAATGTTCTGCAAGCAGCACCTTGGGGTGATGACACGGTGCAGAGTGTTGGGGAAAAGCCACGGTGCCCCTCAGCAGGAGTCACATCTCTGGACTATCACATAACCTGGGACACAAAGTGGGAAGAGGGGGAGAGCCAAGGAATAGTAGCTCGATAGCCTGACAGAGATCAGCTTCTGATCTATTATAGAGAAGCTAAAATAACAAGCCTTTAATCCCTAGATCATGTTGAACAGGTCAAGTGTGGCTCGGGAGATGAGAGAGGACAGAAAAAACCTAATTTCCAGCATTTTTTTGCTCTCATACGGATTTGTTAAAAATGGGATTATTGAGTGAGACACCAGCAGCTGTTCTTCAAAGCGCCTGCACCCATCTGCTGTCTCCTTGGGTTGGCACATGTCTCCCACTGCCTTCGGTGCAGGAGCTGTCAGAGGAGCCCCGTGCTCCTCTTGGGGACAAGGGGAGGGTGGCAATGTCACCCTCTTGACACAGAGGGGAAAGTCCTTGTGTCACCAGGCAGCGGGGAATGGGAGGCTTCCTAATCCCGGCTGCTTTCCCTCAGCAGGGAGCGGCTGTTGTTATTTTAGGGCTTAAATTCTCCTTCAAAAGCCGCCGGCAGCAGGCGGCTCTACACATGTGTGTGCCATGTGCCACCTCCCCTGTCCCTGTCCCTCCTGCCACACCCCGGCCACACCAGCCCACACCCATCCCAAGGGTGACCCAGCCCTTCCTCCTCCCCAAAACGAGGTAAAAATAGCAGACAATCAAATGGAAATGCACATCCTCGGGACAGGGAGGCTGCCTGCAGGAATGCAAGCAGTGCTCCCAGCTCTTGGCATTGTAAAAATTGAGTTTGTTAAAATAACCTTCTTCTCATGATGTAAAACAACGCTCCTGGGAAATGGTTCAGCGAGGAGGATTTTCCTCCTTGGTTTCATCCCTCATGAAATGAGGATAATGGCACTCACCTTGTCTGCAAAAGGGTTTGAGGTCTAGTGGTGAGAATTGCTGGGAAGGATTTACCCTCCCCAGAAAGAGAGAGTAAAAGAGAGGCAGGACTGGACACTGAGCAGCACTGCAAAATCAGCCTGGAGAAAAGCAGAAACTGCCCCAACCAGGGCTCCACAGATGAAGGCTCATCAGCATTTTAAGACTCTTTCTGCTCCAGCGAGTTTTGATAACTCTTGATCAAAAGATACTTCAGCAATTTCCTCAGTATGCCTGTGAAGAAATGTCCTCCCTGTCTCCCCCCTTGCTGGCCAGGCACAGCCTGAGCTGCACACAGGGCTCTGCAAGAGCAGAAAAGAGAAGAAAAGCAAAGTAGCTGAAGATACAGGCTGGCATTTGCTGTGCTGCCTGCACTCCCATAAATTCCAAACAGTAACCTCACCTGAGCCCCTTCCCAGCAATTCTCACCACTAGACCTCCAACCCTTTTGCAGACAAGGTGAGTGACATTATCCTCATTTTATGAGGGATGAAACCAAGGCACAAAGAACACAGATTTGTACAAGGTCACAGGCTGGCCACGGGCAAACTCGGGAGCAGAGCTCTGGAGCATCCACGAAACCCAGCTGGATCCAGCATGCAGGACTGGACACTTCCAGCTGCACACTGCTTCTCCCTCTGCATTTTCTAGTGCTCCCCATGACAAATTCATCTTAGTGGGATCAGTGGAGTATGATCAGGATAATGTTATGCAAAGGAAAAAGTCTTTGAGAGGCTTTCTGTATCCCACTGATGTCAGACAGCTGCTTCCCAGCTCACTGTAATCACTTCTAAATCTCACTGTGCAGGGGTGTGTACCCAGGCCTTTCAAAACAGACCAAAAAAAAAAAAAAAAAAAAAAAAAGGAAAAGAGAGACAAATTTCTTCCTGAATCAGAAATGTGATGAATTTCACTTGAGGTTTGCCACAGACGGGAATCTTACACAAACCCTCCTCTAAGCACCACACAGGCCAGGCCTCTCAGAGAGGGAAATATTAGCAGTGTATAAACACATCTGTATAAATGTAATGTTCCCAGAGATGCAGATAGCTTACAAGGAACAGCTACATTTGCACTGATTGTTAGCAGCCTGCCACGAGGAACTCTTCTTGTAAATCCCCCGGGGGCTGAGTTTTGGGGGCTGAAAGCCCTGTGAGCTGTAAGGTAGCACTGGGAGCAGCTGCCATCCGTGTCTGGAACAGATGGCAGTAAATAATGACACACTCGGCTCTTCCAGCAGCAGGGGGATAAACCCCTGAGCAATCCGGCTGTCTGTGGGGCAGGGAGCCCTCCTGCCCTCGAGGGGAGCCTCCTCCCAGCCCAGACCCTGGTTCAGGGTGGGATCCCCTTCCCTGGCCGCAGAGCCCCTGCTGCCTCCCAGCAAACACCAGTTCTGCTGCTCCCCTCTCACACTGCCCACTTCTGTTCACTGACAGCCCCACTGGGGAGCTCCTGGAGTGATCTGTCGTTCCCAAAAAACAGATTCCTGCCTGCAGAGCTGTGCCCAGCCCTGCTCCCCGTGTGCTGCCAGCTCTCATTCCCATTTCACACCCTGCACCCTCAGCTCTGGATTCTTTCCTTTCTCTGTGACTAAATCTGAGGAGATGCTCAGAGCATCCTTTTCTCTTCCAGCTCCATCTGCCTGGAGCTCTGAGGCTGCCCAAATCGCCTTCCCTTCCATCACACCTCACCTTGAAACCTCTCCCACTTAGCAGGAGCTCCCTGGGAATTCTCAGAGGCTGCAGATGGAAAATGCCCTGGAAAAAGACATGAGGGGACTGTCCCAGCCTAAAATGCCTTTCCAGCTTGCAGACAGCACTGTGTCAAGAGAGTGCAGCTCTGAATCAGTGACATCCAACACATTTTCTTCAACAGGTGCTTATCCAGCATGGAAACAATTCCTTCCTCCTGACATGAATTCATCTCCCTGGCTGTGCTGGCTGGATTTATGAGCTTCCCCCTAGAGCTCCTGGCCAGCACCTTGTGCTTTTTCTCCTCCTCCTTCTGGCTGAAGGGACTGTCCAGGAGAGAGCAGATTTGCCTGATAAAAGCAAATGTAACTCGTCTCACAACTTCCCATCCTCCGCATCTTGCCTATGGAAGGAGAGTACTAATAAGCCTCTCTCCTACTTGGAGACAAGTTGGAAAAAAAAAAAAAATTAAATAAAACCAGCCATTCCCTGAATTCCCATCACACACATTTGAAGAGGTATTTGTTTAGGAGGAATGCATGTCCAGAGCATCCTCCAGCACCACACAGAGCCCTCCTGCCACCCACGCCTCCCGGCTGCTGAAAGCAATTCCTTCCCTCCCCTGCTCCCAGCACCAGCACAGGATGCTCGGGGTCTC